GCAAGGAGGAAATTTGTTCAATAGTAACATACCTAGAAATGATATAGATGATGCAATTAGAAGGAAAAATAATTAAAACTTCTAGAAATATTCTAAATGTACTCAAGGACGTGAGCATAATGAGGAACTAAATGGAAGATATAAAAATAACCAAAGACACAGAAGAAACATTTGACAAAATTCAATAACTTTCATGATAAAACCACTTAGTAAACTAGGGATAGAAGGAACTTTCGTCAACCTGATAGATGGCATCTATAGAAAAACCCACAGCTGATGTCGTTCTTAATGACAATGGAATGAATGTTTCACCTCTAAGATCAGAAACAAGACAAGGATATCTACTCTTACAACTTCTAATCAACATTATAATGGGGGGTTTTAGGCAGAGCAATTAGGAATCAAAAAAGAAAAAAAAATCCATGTTGGAAAGGAAGAGGTAAAACTATCTCTATTCAAAGATAACATGATCTTGTATATAGAAACCATAAGGAATCTACTGGAAAACTATTAGAGCTAATAAACAAGGCCAGGCACGGTGACTCATGCCTGTAATCCCAGCACTTTGGGAGACCGAGGTGGGTGGATCACTAGGTCAGGAGATTGAGACCGTCCTGGCTAACCTAGTGAAATCCCATCTCTACTAAAAATACAAAAATTAGCCAGGCATGGTGGCGGGCACCTGTAGTCCCAGCTAGTCAGGAGGCTGAGGCAGGAGAATGGCATGAACCTGGGAGGTGGAGCTTGCAGTGAGCCAAGATCACGCCACTGCACTCCAGCCTGGGCAACAGAGTGAATGTGTACATCCACCTCATACCATACACAAAAATTAACTCAAAATGGATCAGACACCTAAATATAAGAGCTAAAAATGAAAAACTCTTACAAGAAAATACAGGTGTAACTTTTCATGAGCTTGGATTAGGGAATGGTTTATTTTAGATATGCACAAGCAATAAAGTATAGATAAATTGGACTTCATTAAAGTTAAAAACTCTTGTGTTTCAAAGGATACTATCAAGGAAGTAAAAAGACGACCACAAAATGGGAGAAAATATTTGCAAATCATATAGAAGGGACTTGTATCCAGAACATACTAAAAACTCTTATAACTTAATAAAAAGATAACCCAATTTAAAAATGGACAAAGGAATTTAATAGACATTTCCCAAAAAAGCTATACAAAGCCCCTTCCAGTAGGGGCTTGTCTTCCAGGACAGTATGTGGAGGAGAAAGACAGTGGCATTGATAATCCTGACCTTGTGTGGGCCTAGCCTAATTATATGTGTTTGAGTCTTATTTACAACAAAGTTTAAAAAGAAAACAATATTTTTATACAACTGTATGACATATTTTTTTGAGCAACATGAAAAGTTGCTCACATTATTAGTTATGAGGGAAAGGCAAATCAAGACCGCAGTGAGATCCCACTAATGTGACTATAATAAAGGTGGACAGTAATAGTGTTGGCAAGAATATGGAGAAATTGGAGAAATGTAAAATGATGCAACTGCTTTGGAAACAGTTTGGCCATTTCTCAAAGCATTAAACCTAGAGTTACTATCTGATTCAGTGATTCCACTTCTAGGTATTTAAGACAATTGCAAACATGTCCACACAAGACCTTGTACAGTTGTGCACCACATAACGGCATTTCAGTCAATAAAAGACCATGTATGACAGTGGTGCAATAAGATTATAATGGAGCTGAAAAAATTCCTATTGCCTAGTGACATTGTGGCACAACATATTACATGTTTTTGTGATTGTAGTGTAAACAAACCTATTGTGCTGCCAGTCATATAAAAGTATAGCACATACAATTATGAACAGTACATAATACTTGATAAAGATAATAAATTACTATGTTATTGGTTTATGTATTATTATACTTTTTATAGTTATTAGAGTATATTCCTCCTACTTATTAAAAAAACGTTAACTGTAAAACAGCCTCAGGCAGGTCCTGTAAGAATTATTCTAGAAGGCATCGTTATCGTAGAAGATGACAGCTCCGGGCCAGGTTTGGTGGCTCATGACTGTAATCCAAGCACTTTGGGAGGCCAAGGCAGGCAGATTGCCTGAACTCAGGAGTTCGAGACCAGCCTGGGCAACATGGTGAAACCCCGTTTCTACTAAAATACAAAAAATTAGCCAGGCATGGTGGCATGCACCTGTACTCCCAGCTACTTGGAAGGCCAAGGCAGGAGAATTGCTTGAACCCAGGAGGCAGAGGTTGCAGTGAGCCGAGATCGTGCCACTGCACTCCAGCCTGGGTGACAGAGTGAGACTCCATGTCAAAAAAAGAATAATAATAATAAATAAAAGAAAATGACAGCCCCATGTTATTGCCCCCGAGGACCTTCCAGTAGGGGCCTGTCTTCCAGGACAAGATGATGTGGAGGTGAAAGATAGTGGTATTGATGATCCTGACCTTGTGTTGGCCTAAGCTAATTGTGTGTATTTGTGTCTTAGTTTTTTACAAAACAAAAGTTTCAGAAGTAAGAAATACTATATTTTACACCTGTACTGTATATTTGTTTTAAGCTAAGTGTTATTACAAGTCAGAATGTTTTTAAAAAGTTTCTTTAAAAAGTTAAAGTGAAAGTTAATTTATTATTGAAAAAAGAAAAATATTTTTAAAGTAGTGTAGCCTAAGCATAGTGTTGGTAAAGTCTAGGGCAGTGTACAGTAATGTCGTGGGCCTGTGCATTCACTCACCACTCACTTATTGACTCACTCAAAGCAACTTCCAGTACTACAAGCTCCATTCATGGTAAGTATCTTACACAGGAGTACCATTTTTTATCTTTTATACTGTATTTGTGCTGTACCTTTTCTAGGCTTAGATATGTTTAGATACACAAATGCTTATTACTGTGTTCCAGTCGCCTCTAGTGTTCAGTACAGTAACATGCTGTATAGGTTTGTAACCTAGGAGCAATAGGCTATACAGTATAGCCTATGTGTGTAGTAGGCTATCCCATCTAAGTGTGTGTGAGTACACTTGATGTTGTTCTCACAACAACATAATCACCTAAGGACTTACTTCTCAGAACATGTCCCTGTTGTCAGACAACACATGGCTGTACATGAATGTTCATAGCATTATTCATTGTAGCGAAAAAGTGGAAACAACCCAAATGTCAATCACCTAAGGAATCCAAAAACAAAACATGGGCATATCTATGCAGTGGAATTATATTCAGGCATCAAATAAATGAAACACTGACGCATGCTACAAAAGGGTAGACCTTGCAATCATTAATGCTAAGTGATAGAAGCCAGACGCAAAAGACCACATATTGTATGATTCCATTGTTGTGAAATGTCCAGAATAGGCAAATCTGTGTAGACAGAAAATAGATTGGTGGTTGCCTAGGGCTGGCAGAGCTAGGGGAAATTTGGAGTGACTGCTAACAGGTATGGGGTTTCTTTGGTGGGGGGAGTGAAATGTTCCAAAATTATATAATGGCAATTGGATGCACATATCTGTGAAAATACTAAATCCCAATGAATTGTACACTTTAAAAGGATGAATTATGTGGTATGTGAATTATATCAATAAAAATTGTTTGTAAAAGGAACCAAAGGGGCTCTAAAAGTTAGAAAATACAATATCTGGGCCAGATGCAGTGGCTCACACCTGTAATCCCAGCACTTTGGGAGGCCAAGGCAGGCAGAACACGAGGTCAGGAGTTCGAGACCAGCCTGGCCAACATGGTGAAACCACATGCCTATAAAAATACAAAAATTAGCCAGACATGGTGGCGAGCACCTGTAATCCCAGCTACTTAGGAGGCTGTGGCAGGAGAACTGCCTGAACCCGGGAGGCAAAGGTTGCAGTTAGCCGAGATGGTGCCACTGCACTCCAGCCTGGGCAACAGAGCAAGACTCCATCTCAGAAAAAAAGAAAAGAAAGAGAAAGGAAGGGGGGAGGAGGGGGGGGAGGAGGAGGGGGGGAGGGAGGGAGGGAGGAAGGAAGGAAGGAAGGAAGGAAGGAAGGAAGGAAGGAAGGAAAGAAGGAAGGAAGGAAATCAATCTGATATGAAAAATTTCCTGGAAGAGATTAAGGGCAGATCAGAGGCTGCAGAAGAAGAGACCAGTGAATTTACAGATAACTTAAAAAATTGAAACAGAGGGAAACAAAAGACTTCAAAAAACTACAAAGGTCCTCAGAGACATGTGGAACAATATAAAAGAATCTAATAAATGTGTAAGTGGAGTTCCAGAAATTATGGCAGAAGAGAAATAATATTTGAAAATTTAGGAGATGAGTCTTAAAGGATGAATTGGGATTTGTCATGAGAATAAAGGGAGCAAGGGCGTTTTAGGTAGAATAAACAATATTAGCAATATTGTGAAAGCTTGTAGCCATATTGTGAGTACTATGCAGTGTCATTTTAAATGTGTTTTAGTTATGAAGGATAATTTTCTTATTTGGAACTTTACTTCACTAAGTGATACTACATATTTTGAATTCTCTTTTGGTAGACTAACCATCTGCTAACTTTTTTGTATCCAGCTGGTGGTTAATAAGTTCTGGTCAGTTTCTTAAAAAGAGTTACTAGTTGGCCAGGGGAAGCTAGTTGGGGCTTAAAATTAACCATACACTGCTTAGATTTTTACTACATGAGAAAATGTTAATAATTGCTGACATGTAAGGCAAAGCCTAAATGCTTAAAATAGATTTTTTGCATTTGTTTATTTTTATATTTCTTTTTAGAGTTTTTAGGATTGATTTTTTTCTATTTCTGTGAAGAATACCATTGGAATTTTCATGAGGATTGCATTGACTCTGTATATTACTTTGGGTAGTATGGATATTTTAACAATGTTAATTCTTCCAATCCATAGACATGAATATCTTTTCACTTATTTGTGTTGCCTTCACTTTCTTTCATCTATGTTTTATAGATTTTAGTGTACAGGTCTTTTACTTTCTTGGTTAAATTTATTTCTAAGTATTTTATTTTTGATGCTTTTGTATCTGTTTCTAGAAATGAAGTCAATGGAACATGATAGTAGCCAGCTAAATGAACTTCAAAAACAAAAGAGTGAATTGATACAAGAATTATTTACTCTCCAAAGAAAACTTAAAGGTATTACCTTCATGAGTTAGCTTATTTTGCTGATAAATATAGTTATATACACATGGTAAGGGCATATTATTCTTTTAAAATATATTAACCTGTTGTGATATAGTGCTATTATTGGTACTAAAAAAGAAATAGATAAAACAGTCATCAGTGTGAGATCTGGTATTTTTAATGTTGCAAATCTTTTAAAGATCTTTTTTGTGCATGTAATTGCTACATTAACGTAGAAAATAAAAATCATTAGTATATAAATTTTATATGCAAGCACCAAAAATTAGGGTATTTTTCTTATGAGTGAATAAAGATAATCTTTATGTTTAATTTTCAAAAGATTGCAACTATTTTTTAATTTGTTTAGTTTTTGAAGATGAAAAGAATGAATCCATTTGTACTACCAAATATCTAGAGGCAGAAAAAATAAAAATCAATGAAAAGCCTCAAAATGATGCAGAATGCTTAAGGTAAGAGTTTCCTATTATATTTGGCATAAATCAGGTAATTTTTCAAGTTAAATAGATTTCAGTATAAAGCTAAGTGCATCAATTATTAATTTAAAGTTCCAGATGAAGACATTATTTTTTTCTCTGTGTATTCTGACGCATGCTAATAAGGAAACACTTCGGGGCTAGAAAGTGCTACACATAAGTTCATGACGCATTGGGTTGATGATTGATAATAGTGAAATTAATTTTATCTTTTCTTGAGACTCAGTATTTTTCCCATCCCAAGAGATAAGACAACTCTCCTTTCTGTTATTCCTAACTTTTGGCGGCAAATGATTGAAATTACTTTTCATCTTTCTAGATTCCAGCGGTGTGAGGAAATCAGACTGCTATTTTACTTGACATTTGTTTCTTTGGTTTTGTTCTTAAAAAGTGAAAATGTATTTTCTGTATGAATTATTTAGATGATTTTTGTGCATTTAGATAATAAATATATGATATTTGAAATGACATAGTCATAAACACAAGGAGAAAAGACCTCAAGTTTTAAAATTTGACTCTCATTAATTAACAATTTAGTGTTACCTTTGCTGGCTTAATTTTAAAGAAGTTCCTGTACTTTCTAGGTTTCATATAAGAAAAGAAACCTCATTACTGGATCTATGAAGAAGCAAAAGAAGGCTTCTTTCACATAAATTGTATAGGAAATATGTCCACTAGAGCCAAACAAATGCTTCATATTAGCAGTGTATTACCTTAGGCAATAATTTTAGTAGATTGTGAGAAAATATTTGCAATTTAATTTTATATTAAGTTTTATAAGCATAAACTATCAATCTCTTGGGTGATATGTGTGATGCAAAATGGGTTTCAATAATGACAATCTGCTCATTGATTTTTTTTGCACTTTTAAAAATGGTGATGCCCACTGGTATCATTCAAGTTAGTAGTGTGAGGGCTTCCAATCTGAACTCCAGTTTTGCGGGTTTATCACTCAGTCATAAAAATGTGCTCTGGGTTAAAATTAAACACACAAAGTCTGTTAGAGAATGCTTTTTCCTTCACAAATGACGACTTAGGAAATTTGGATAGAAAGAAGTATCAGTGCATGTATTTAGTCCATTAATTGCATTTTAGCAGTTATTAAATTAAATGCCAATATTTATGAATTCCTACTTTTCATTTATTGATATGTGTAGTTAGTTTCCCAATTAGCATGTTTCATAAGTTTTCCCAAGTGTGAAGAGTGAAGTCAAAGTACTGAGTATAAATATTTTAGGAAAGAAGACTGTCAGTCTTACAATTAATGCAATAACAAGAAACTAATGATGTCAAAAACAATAAGACATTCAGCTTCATCATGAAGGCCAAAATTAAGTTGACTTTGTTAGTGAATTTTGGGATAGAATAGTCTTTTTCATCTCTGTGTTCAAATGTATATGGAATTCCATAATAGTTGCATTTCTCTTAATTTCTCAGGTTTGACTTCTAATGGAGTAGATGTTATTTTTATAGCAGGATTTCTCAAACTTTGTCTTGTTGGCATTTTAGACCAGATTATTCTTTGTTGTCAGGGGCTGTTCTATGCATTGTGAGATGTTTAGTAGCAACCCTGTCCTCTACCCGCTAGATGCAGTAGCACTCTGCATTCACCAGTTGTGGCAACCAAAAAAGTCTCCAGACATTGCAAAATGTCCGCTGGGGGAGGGGGTGGCAAAGTCCCCCCAACCTGAGAACCAGCTTTATTTTAAGGTTATTATGACTTCTATGTTCATTAACTTTAACCAGTAAGACAGCAATTACAGAGGAAATCTGTAATATTAGTTAATCTCTATGAGCTTATTGTTTCCAGTTTTAATAATTAGACAACTTTAATATATGTTTTATTTTGTGTATATTGAAATTCTTTTATAATGATTATGGTTCATATTTTAAAGCTTAGTATGCCATGTTCAGGTTATTTGTTGGACTCTATCTTGATGTTATCCATTAGTATTAGTGTAGAGAACCAGTGTTTCACAGTTTAGTGGTCTCTGCTTTAGGTAACCTCTGCATTCACAATGGTTTAATGGTTCACATTCAGAATGATTTAATAGTCTCTGCTTTAGATAATCTGTCTTTATTTATAAGTATCAAGATGTTTGTTTATTTAAAAATTCTGTTTTGAAGAGTAAATGTGTAACACACATTTAAGCAGCTAACTTACAGAATATTGCTATGATTAACACTTAAGCCATAGGTTAGGTTAATTCATCAGAAACCTCCCAAAGAGGTGTGACTGATTGATTATGACTGATCTGTTTTTTTTCATATAGTGTAGGGAGAACAGAAATAATAAAGATCAGAGTCTTAAGAGGCAGTAAGCATAGTGGTTAAACCCTTTTGAATCCCAGGTGTCCCTCCACTTCTGGTTCATCTTTCTTTCAGTCTTTGCATCTTGCACAGTCCAGGGCACATGGTGTTCAATAAATATTTGTTCCGGTAATTGAGTCTACATATAATTGAATTTTCACTATGAAAAGATTAAAGTTCTCTTCATATATTTTCAGTGTTATTTGCAAAGACATGATGTATTCCAACCACTGGGATAGTGCCACTTTCAAAGGGATTGTTTTCACTCCTATGTTTTTCTTCAATGTGGAAAAAGCTTTACAAGTTTAATCATGCTGACCTCCCCTTAGTCCCTCATTCTCTTATCCTAATGTGTAGAGGAGTGACACAGTCTGATCGGTGAATTTGGAAAGGCAAACTGGAAAACGTGGAGCCCAGCCCCTTTCTTTTCCCCGTCTCTTTGGAACATGGCCTGCCTCAGAGAGCGTGTTTTCCCACTCTGCTTCTCCATCTCTTAAGTTTTATCGTTGCTGGACTCCACAAGAGAAAGCCTGTGGAGTCCACTGCTACCTTTAATGGTGTGAGTTAAGTTAGTCTAACATTGGAGTTTGATATTAGCAAACCCTTTCCTACATATTTAAGCCACATTTTCCAGTGTCTGCTATATCAGTAATACATGTGGAATTTTTGCATGCTTTCTGCCTTTCTTATTTTTTGATTGGGCAGATTTCAGGCAGGAAAGAAGAGTGTTATATATTAGGCCTCTGTAAACCCCCAAACCTATTATTCTTATTATTATTATTTGCGACAAAGTGTTGCTGTGTATCCTAGAGCAAGGGATTACAGGCATGCACCACCACACCTGACTAATTTTTGTATTTTTAGTAAAGACAGAGTTTCACCATGTTGGCCAGACTGGTCTCGAACTCCTGACCTCAAGTGATACACCTGCCTCGGCCTCCCAAAGTGTTAAGATTATAGGCGTGAGCCACCGCGCCTGGCCACAAACCTATTATTTTTTATTATTACCTAACACCAGGGTTACCAAAATGCACAGTTCTTCATCATGATTTTTTTTTTATTTACTCCAAATTATAGCATAACAGACAACTTTAAACATTTCAGGAATTTTCTTTCACCACAAAACTTCTTTCTAGAATGCTTGTATATCTTGTATTACTGATATTTGTGTTTGTTTAATGCAATTAGGAAGCTTGTTTTGGGAATAAATCTGCATAGGCAACAGCATGAGATTTTCTTTCTGAGCACTTAAAGGTAGTGTGGTTTTGTTTCAGCACCACAAGACAGGGCAACAACAACAAAAAGAAAATAAAAAAAAATAGTATGGTTTGTGAAGAGCATGTTTGCAATGTAAGCTGCACAAAAGTTAATATACCCCTGCTACAAGAGACTCTAAATGCATTAATGTCATGTGGTAAAGCAATGCAGTGACCTCTTCAGTGAAAAAGTCATCTAGTTAAGTTGGTCATAGAGGTCACACTGTTGGTCCTTAGACTTGTAAGAAGGCATAAACTCAGTATGGTATTAACATGTTTTCAAACTCTTTCAAGGATACATAGATAAATATGTATGTTTACACATGTATATATTTTTTATTTTACAAAATATATATATATTTAAATTATGAGAATAGCCTATGTTGATTGAATAAAAATTTAAACACTCCAGAGATATGAAGTGTCAAAATCTCCCTTTTCATACCCTTGCTCTGACACCCGTAAGTGTGACCACTGTTAAAAGTTTGATGTGTATACTGTCAGAATTTATTTCTGTTTGTGTGTGTAAACACATGTACATAGATATGTCTGTGTGTGTTTAGCAAAAATGGGATTATGGATCACACTTACTGGTCTGCAGTTTGCTTGATTATTTATCAAAATGTAAACGTTTTCATTTTAGTTTGTACTAATCTTCATTCTTTTTAATGCTATCATATGGAGATGCCATATTTATATAACCAGTCTCTCATTAATGGATGTACAAGATAGTTTCTAAATATTCATAATTAGGCACACTTTTATAAATGTATCCTTAAATACTTGCAAGAGTCTTTCTGTAACATTATTTAGAATAAGCAGCATTTAGTAGAGTAATACGAATTGTTATCCAGGCTCCATTTGTAAAATAGTCTACATTATCTTTGCTCTTTGTTTTCAACAACAAAAAAGCTCAAAGTAGACAAGAGTAACAAGATCTCAGTTCTACAGTATCTTCAAAATATTAGTCAAATAGTTGTGTATCTGTGCCCTACCTGTATTATCTCCAACTTTTTAAACATTTATAAAATATGAGAATCCCCATTTAATTCCAGGATTATTTTTTAGCTCTATATTTTGCTGAATATTTCTGTTGACTCTGCATCTTTTCTGGTAAAACTTCATCATTTATTCACTAACAGAAGTGTCTCTGCAGCATTGATTATGTAGCCTTCAAGCTAATAGAGATCCCCTGTTTTGTGAATCCTTGGCACATACTAGAGTTATTAAGCTTCAAAGCAAATACAGAGGAAATTTTTATGGTAGACTCAATTGATTATTTTAAAAGTTATATTCTGATATAAATGGAACTTTTCCCCTAAATTGTGAAATAATTTTATGATACAAGCCATACAAAATGTTACAGTGATTATTTTCTAAATTCATTGGTATCTTTAATATCATACACAT